CGATGTAGCACTGGAAAATATGTTTTCCCGTTACTTCCATGCGAGCTCTGGAGTTCCTTGGCCCCCTTCTGTTTATCATTTTCATGTTCATGTTCAGTTCCTGCTTCTTATTCTCGAAATTTCAAATGTATTCAGACGATCTCAAAGTTTATTCTGTTATAAAAAATTCTGAAGATGCCTTTTCCCTTTAATCTGATCTTAATAGAGTAACGTCCTGGTGTGAGACTAACTGTCTTAGTGTGAATATTAATAAGTGTTATCTCTCGGCTTATTCCAGAAAGCTAAATACAATTAATATCTCATATACTATATCTGGCTGCATTCTTAAATCAGTAGTTCAGACCAAAGATTTAGGAATTTACTTCGACTTTCAATAGCCATATTGATTTCATTATTCTATTCATTGTTAGCCTTTTCAGATCCATTTACATTAAAAACCGTATACATAGCTTTATTAAGGTCTCACCTTGAGTGTGCTGCCAATATTTGGCTCTGTAACCGCCAAAGCGATTTCGGCCAACTGACGCCAATTGGAAAAGCCAAGTGAAGCCAGAATACTTTCAGAGCTGGGGCGACGGTGTCCATTCGAACGACATGGTCAAGCCAGTTGAGCCGCTGTATTTTAATTCGCCAAATACCAGCACGGTCATGATGAGTGACTTATAGTGTGGTTTTCGTACGTCGAGAGAGGACTTTACTCCTGAATTGCCTACTCAGTCCAAAGAAGTACTTGTTGGCAAGAGCGATTCTGCGTTGGATTTCCATGCTGACATTATTATCAGTGTTAATGCTGGTTCCCAAGTAAAAGAAATTCTCTACTTTCTCGAAATTATAACTGTCAAAAGTGACGTGGGTGCCAAGCCCCGAATGTGCTGACTATTTGTTTGATGACAGGAGATACTTCGTCTTGTCCTCGTTTGCCACCAGACCCATTCGCTTTGCTTCCTTGCCCGATTTGGAAAAGCCAGGACAGACTTCGCAGTTTTTCTTACCGATGATGTCAGTGTCATCGGCATAAGCCAGCAATTGTACGCTCTTGTAGTAAATTGTTCCTGAGCGGTTCAGTTCTGCAAATCTTATTATCTTCTCCAACATCAGATTAAAGAAGTCACATGAAAGAGAGTCGCCCTGTCAGAAACCCCGTCTGGTGGCGAACGGCAACAGAGCAGAGCTGGTGGTATTGCTCAACGTCATTTTTCACAGCCGTATGAGTTTTGAGGGGATGCCAAATTCAGACAGCGGCATATAGGAAACTCCTTTTAGTGCTGTCGAAAGCGGCTTTAAAGTCAACAAATAGGTGGTGAGTGCCGATCCTTTTCTCTCGGGTCTTTTCCAAGATTTGGCGTATTGTGAATACCTGGTCTATGGTAGACAATACATTCGATAAGACCTTGCAACCTATGGTTACAAAACTGTGGCAGCCATACAAAGATGAATTAAGGCAGTACAAAAAATTAGTAAAGAAAGCTAAAAAGGACTCTTGGCAGTCCTATTGCACATCCATAGAGAACTGTAGGGATTCCGCCAGACTAATGTAATAGTCGACTGGATTGTAAATAAGAAATTGCTTTCTTATTGGAAAAATATATATATGTACATATTACTGGCAAGTTGCCGACATTATTGCCGCAACATGTTGCTAAGGTCGAACTTCTACTTCTGGTGAATGCATATTTCGCTGTTCGAATGTTAAAACGAATAGAAAAAAATGCACTGAACAATAACACAAATTTCTCGAAAATCGAAACACATAAGTAGGTTTTTGGGTTTAAATCGGTCTTTTCAACCGAACCACCACCTTGACCAGATTACCAGAGGAAAATTTGTAAGTTAGAAATTTTACCAGGAATTTTACCAAGAATATTAATAAAAAAATAATTTTAAATTTGGGTAGGTTTTCGAAATCAAAATTCTCGGGGTTCTTCCGTCAGTTGGATGGCTTATCTAGTCCATTTTGTTCATTTTGGTGGAGTATTTTCTTTCCGAAAACGTTCCAAATTTCCTAAATCAAGGTAAATAGAACGTCCACAGATATTTTCTTATATATATATGTATGTTCCAAAACTTATACGATGTCAAAACCAATCGTATATACATACGTAACCGCCCAACATTTTAATTTTCATATGTACTTATACATTTGTATATACCACTTTTAGACGCGGTAGGTTACCGTACTTATCCGTGCCTGGGCGCACAGAAAACCAAAGTGGCCAGCCGGGGTCGCCATCGGCTAGCTTCAATACAAATTGAATACCCTGCGTCAGTCACCTAGAATCATCTGCACCGCGCGGTTTAATTAACCATAAAACTCCAACTCCAGAAAATTTCGAGGGGCCTCATGGCCGGCTGTCCGAAAAGTGCTAAAAAAAAGTGAACAGAAAAATAAAATAAGAATTTTTGGAACAAACGCGTACAATTGAGTAGAGCCCATAATTTGAAAAGAAAAGAACATATAAAACTATTGAAAAAAAAACAAAATTTGGAAAAATTGCGTAGGGAAGTGAGTATAGCTGATAAGAAAAACAGATAAAGAAAAATTAAAAAAAAAATTAAAAAAAAATTGTATAGTTAAATTAATTGTATGAAATTGCCAAAAAAAGCGGCAAAAAAAGTGATATTAAAAAAATTGCTGTGTAAACTGTACCTAGGAAGNGAAAAAAAAAACAAAATTTGGAAAAATTGCGTAGGGAAGTGAGTATAGCTGATAAGAAAAACAGATAAAGAAAAATTAAAAAAATAAATAAAAAAAAAATTGTATAGTTAAATTAGTTGTATGAAATTGCCAAAAAAAGCGGCAAAAAAAGTGATATTAAAAAAATTGCTGTGTAAACTGTACCTAGGAAGGGCAGGTAAATACAGTGATTAGGTACATAAGTACATAAAAATCTGAAAAAACAACAAAAAACAAAACAAAAACAAAAGGAGAATACATTCACATAAGTAACTAAGTAGGGTGTAGGGTATAGTGGAAAATTGTACGAATGTGAATCAATATGGACTGGTTTTGGAAAAACAAAGTTATTTTGAGCAACGGGTCATAGTGAAAAAGGTAAATGTTTGATTCNGATTGCTTACAACGACAGTAGGTAGAAGTTGCGGTTCTTCCTCTGCAAATTACCTATGGCATACCCACTACATCCATGGATTCATTACAAATCTGGTGCCCAACGTGGGGCTTAAAAGCGAAGGTTTCGGCTATATTTTATCATGCTTTTAGTTCCCCAGAATGAGGATTAGCTTGCTACGTTTTGTCCCACATAATGAGATAGAATTTACCAAGTTTCGACCTCGTAATTAATAAATTTTGTCGAATACTATGTCTCCATTGAGAGATTTATCCACTAAGATTTAATAAATCCAAATATTTGACGTTTGCTTATGTATGATTTTATAAATACAGTTGCGGACATTGATATACAGACAGATAAAAAGAAGGTACCAAGCGGAATTTCATTATATGAATTCTGAATATTATTGGCTTCTTATTCGAGGTAAATATGTATCTATGTATAATATGTAGTTTGGAAAGTGTAAAGAATGGTACGATATTCCGAATCATTTTTCCGAATTTAAGAAAAATTATCAAAACGGTAAAAAACATTTGCGGAAAGAAAAAATTTTGTAGAACTCTCGTATTCATAGGAGGGAACCGAAAATCCAATCGTGGGCCTTTGGCATATCATGAATACGAACTGAGTTCTAGAGGATTTTCGGTGCAATGTTATCGAAGCAGAACCATTACCGAAATTTATAAATTTTTTGTCGCAGCGCATAAATGACTTATAGAAAGCGGAGAATACTCTGCATGATATTACTATAAAACATTTCTTCTAAATATTTAGTTTTTAAAATAATATTTTCTTAATTTATTACAACCAAAGTTATGTAAATATGTATTACTAATTTTCCTCCTAAACTAAAAATTCCTCCTAAACGAAAATTCATGTTTTTATTATAGGCTAGATTTCAATGTCCTCAACTTTATAATGAAAACACAAATGTCATTTGACTTACGGCATGTGAATTTGGGGTTGCCACATCCAACAAATTGTACTTATTGACCAATATTATTGAAGATTTGACGAAGATTTAACTTAAATCTACTGCCTTTCGAGATTTAATTTTATATGGTAAATCTTAAAAGATTAACGTCAAATCTCGTCAGAGGGCTAAATCTTCATTAAATCTCACAATGGAGACATAGTATAAGTAATAAAATTTCCAGCTCGGGTAATTTTCTGTGCCTCAAATGGATGTATACCTTGAACGAATTCGGATTTCAGGCATATCAGCCCTGGAACTTTCTGCCACTTGTGTTGAAGTCCATTATTGATGGCCAGATGACTTACTTTCAACCATTCATTGTCTTAAGTTTTTATTTCAAAATATTGCCTTCCTGGAATTGGTATTAAGACTTATCGGATTTTTTTATCAACCGAAGGACAAGTATTTGAAAACTAACTTGAACGGGGTTTACAGTTCGTCCAAGCATGGAAAAGAAAGTNTTTTTTATCAACCGTAGGACAAGTATTTGAAAACTAACTTGAACGGGGTTTACAGTTCGTCCAAGCATGGAAAAGAAAGTTTTAGGCTTAGCAGACCTAAATACTTAGCCGCTGAAGACTAAATTGTAAACTTTCAACAATAAAATATAAATTTTTTTTCAATTCGATAGTTATGAATTTCTTCCTTGGAACGCAAGTAAAGGTTACCAAATTTCTGATGAGGACTCCTGCCTTGCCCGGTAGAAATTCGAACAGAAGAATTGATACTTGCTTTTAAAATTCTTTACCAATGGAATCTCAATTTTAAGGCCAAACCAAAGGTTAGAAATTGATTTAATATTGATTTTAAACGGTCCCACATATATTACCAATAAAAGGAATTCTTTTCGAAATAGTGTTGATTTTTTTTTCTAATCTTCAACTTTGATTTTCACCTTACGGAAGTTCGAAACTTTGAAATAGCTTTGGAGACTTTTTATGCAACAATTCAGTATGGCGGTAATGATCCGAAGTACTGAAAATCTGGCTAATTTAACGGCCGAAGCATCAGCTTGTTCTTGCGCAATTTGTTTGCAAGATATGCCGAGTGGAAACGATTGTTGGATTACTTTCTGTAATCATGTTTTCCACAAGAATTGCATCGAACAACGGCTGACAACTTCACATGATTGCCCTGTATGTCGAAAAAGAGTAAACAAACGAGATCTGCAACCAATCAACACCGATCATAAACCGAAGAAGAAAAATGAAGGAACCATCGTGACGGGAAGTACTACCGCGCGAACGCAAAAGCCATAACGATATAATACTCGAAGCTCTCGTAGATTATATGATGACCAAGACACGGGAGTATTCAATTCCACGCTACCCGATGCAGATCAGACCGCAAGATTTACTGGAAACCGTGCGCGTAATAATAGTAATTATAGGCAAACCCAACCACTTGTAAATTACGATCGCATAGGAGAAATGATAAATGAGACAGTGAACCGTATGTTTGCAAATTTAAACTTAAATGTTGCTCAAACAGTCGCACAGACGTATGCGCATAGTAATAATTCCTCTGTTGAAGGCAACGAAACCGACTTGTCCGAAATCTCAGTACCCTAAGTCCGGAGAAAATAACAACGTTGATTCAAAATTGGCAAGTTAAATTCGATGGCTCTTCCATTGGTCTAAAGGTAGACGAATTTTTATATCGAGTACATTCTTTAACTTACGAATGTTTAAATGGTGATTTTCAATTAATTTGTAGGAACCTTCCAGTTTTACTTGTAGGAAAAGCTCGTGATCTTCATTGGCGTTACCACAAAATGGCACATCACGTTGAATGGGAAGATTTTTGCAATGCGTTAAGACGGGAATATAAAGATTATAGATCAGATTATGATATAAGAGAAGAAATTAAAAACCGAAAACAGGGACCATCCGCAACATTCGAAAGTTTTTATTACTCTGTTTTAGAAAAAGTTGACAAAATGGCTACTCCGTTGTCAGAAGAGGAATTAATTGAAATTATCACTCGAAATTTACGGACAGACATTCGACATGAATTATTGTACGTACCCATTCGATCGTTAGCTCATTTGCGTAAACTTGTACAAAAGCATGAATTTCTTTTTGCCGATGAAAGTAGTCGTCGCATGCCAGCTATGCGTAATGTACCGGCCACCACTTATACCGGCCGGCGTCAAGTATCCCCGTGGATCACTTGGATGTGACACACGACGAAGTAGTAGAGCAAATTGATGATAATTTCGTACAGGCGGTCAACGCGACAAAGTGTTGGAATTGTCTGCAAGAAGGGCATCATTGGGAAGATTGTCTCAGTGAAATATATATAAACCAAATTGTGAATCGTGTAAAAAGCGAACGGAAAACTCCAAGAGGGTTGCGTTCAAAACCACCCGGACGCAACCTACCAGTATGTAGATAACGAAACTTTAAATGACATTGTAAATAATTTACTGGCTTGCTCAGTCTAGGAAAATGCGAGTGAATCTATAAGCACCTGTTTTGTTAATCGAAAAGAAGATTCGAAAATTTCGAGTGCGACGAAACGCAAGCGGCAAAAAAATAGGACTACTAACGGATTTAGAAGTTTTGAAACTTAATAATCACAAAGATGGAAGAATTTTATTGCCTTTGGTTCCATACCACATTAGATTAGCAAATTATAATAAAGTAAGGAATAGGATTTTTTCTGATTGCCCTGAATTATTAAATAAAAATAAGAAAATGAAACGTTCCACCTTTAGACTACGTAGATTCTGGAAAGCAGTTCGAATGACAAAAAAAGTTTTAAATTCAGCAATCTTGCGAAATGAAAGCAACTCATTATGCTATGCGAAAGTGAAATTTTTAGATTTTGAGGAACTTGGTTTATTAGATATGGGCGCGAAAATGAAATTTCGCGAATATCTCGTTTCCGTAAAATTCATTCAAGTGTAAAAACCACGGATGGTAAAAGTCATAAAGTTGAAGGGACCGTAGACGTCGATATAATGTACAAAAAGGAAGTGAAAAATTTGAAGTTATATATAATATCGTCATCAGATTCTAGGCTTATTTTAGGTATAGATTTTTGGAGAGTCTTTGAACTTGCTCCTTAAGTTATCTCAGCTATTTCGCATGATGAAAGTCCCTCTGATAGTGGTGAAGAAGATTACTCATATCCGCTTACTTCACTGCAAAAACTGTCTGGGTCGAACCAGCCTCATCGAACACGATATCGATATAGAAGAATCGAAACCGATTAAACAACGCTATTATCCTCTTTCACCAGCTGTAGAGAAACTGATGTTTAGTGAAATTGATCGCATGCTAAGTCTTGGTGTTATTGAGCCATCCAGCAGTGCCTGGAGTTCATCAATGAGACTTGTGCTCAAACCTGGCAAGGTACGATTGTGTTTGAATGCACCAAACCAAAAAGGATGCATATCCTTTACCCAACATACAAGGTATTTTTTCACGGTTACCAAAGGCAAACATCATCTCAAAAATCGATTTAAAAGATGCTTATTGGCAAATTGGCTTGACAGAGCGATCTAAATCGTTAACTGCGTTTACCGTACCTGGAAGACCAATTTAAGGTCATGCCTTTTGGGTTATGTAACGCGCCGTCTACCATGTGTCGTTTGATGGATGAGATTATACCAGCTGATCTAAACCATTGCGTCTTTGGGTATCTAGATGATCTTGGTATAGTATCTGAAGACTTTAACACGCATGTGAAGATTTTAATCAGGATAGCGAACCAGTTCAACAAAGCGAATTTAACCATTAACGTTTCTAAGAGTAGTTTCTGTGTGACGCAGGTAAAATATTTAGGTTTTGTTATTGGAGATGGTGGTATCTCCCCATATTTAAGCAAAGTTGATTCGATTTTATCCTGGCCTGTGCCAAAAACTTTAAAACAAGTACGAAGTTTTCTTGGTTTAGCTGGATGGTATCGAAGGTTCATTTCAAATTTTGCTGATGTAACTTTTCCTATTACCCAGGTATTGACTACCAAGAAAAAATTCGTGTGGACAGAAGAGGCGCAGAAAGCTTTCGAAAAGTTAAAAAACTTGTTAGTCTCGGCTTCCGTTCTTTCAAACCCCAATTTTTCAAAAAAATTCTTCGTGCACTGCGATGCTAGTGACTACGGTATAGGCGCGGTGTTGGTTCAATTAGTTGAAGATGGTGCAGAGAAGCCGATTGCTTTCATGTTAAAAAACTTAACTCTGCGCAACGAAATTACAGCCTTACCGAACGAGAATGTTTGGCTGCGATCGAAGCCATAACCAGATTTCGATGTAATTTGGAACTGCAGGAATTCGAAATCATCACCGACCACTCCAGTCTTGTGTGGTGGATGCGACAGCCAAATCTAAGTGGAAGGCTTGCGCGATGGGCACATAAGCTGCAAGCTTATAAATTCACTGTCAGTCATCGTAAAGGAAAGGATCATATCGTACCAGACGCCTTGTCGCGCATCCATGCTGAACTTAATAACGTGGAAGGAATTGGTCCTGAAATCGATTTAGACTCCGAACACTTTTCCGAACCGGAATATGAAGAATTAAAAAAAAATGTGTTAAAAGACCAAAGCAGACTACCAGATGTCAAAGTAATCGACAAGTTTGTGTATCGCCGCACTGAACATGCAACTGGAGAAGCAGAACAGATAAATCGTTCATGGAAACTTTGGATACCAAAATTACTGCGTGCAGATGTATTATATCGAGCACATGATTGTGTCATCGCAGCACATGGAGGTATATTCAAAACGTTAAACTTAATCCGGAGGAATTTCTACTGGCCAGGATTAGCCAAGGATGTCCGAGAATACGTGAGAAATTGTGAAGTATGTAAAGCCACCAAAGCACCAAATATCATTTTGACACCACCAATGGAAAAACAAGTGAAAACATGTCGTCCTTTTCAACGCTTATACATAGATATTTTAGGTCCTTATCCCAGGAGCAAGAAAGGAAATATTGNACTGCGTGCAGATGTATTATATCGAGCACATGATTGTGTCATCGCAGCACATGGAGGTATATTCAAAACGTTAAACTTAATCCGGAGGAATTTCTACTGGCCAGGATTAGCCAAGGATGTCCGAGAATACGTGAGAAATTGTGAAGTATGTAAAGCCACCAAAGCACCAAATATCATTTTTGACGTCCATTTTTCATTGCCTTGGTGTTCCAGAAGTCATCGTTAGCGATAATGGCACACAATTCAAAGCTAATGAGTTGAATGTATTTTTGACCAAGCTGGGAATTCAGCATACATATACCGCTTTGTATTCTCCATAGGCCAATGCGTCCGAACGGGTCAATCGATCCTTGATTGCTGCGATCCGAGCGTACTTGAAAACTGACCAAACAAAATGGGATAAAAACCTGAGCAGCATAAGTTGTTCTTTAAGAAATTCTTTGCACCAATCCATTGGATGATCGCCCTTTCACGCTCTTTTCGGGTAGAATATGATCACCCATGGCTCAGCTTATAAACTCCTAAAGAATCTGGACTCACTGGAAGAATCAAATTGCTTGCTGGATAGAAAGGATCAAATGGCTTTACTGCGGGAAGATTTAAGTCGAAATACCACAAAAGCATACGAACGTAATGTGACTCAATATACCTTGCGATCTCGACCAGTTCATTCCAAAGTAGGGCAGGAAGTTTTACGAAGAAATTTTGCACAAAGCAGCGTAGAAAAGCGTTTCAATTCCAAGTTAGCACCGCTGTTTATCAAAGCTAAAGTTCGAGAGAAGTTAGGAAGCAATTATTACATCTTAGAAGATTTAAAGTGCTAAAGACATTCGTCCCTAGTCGCCCTTTTCCATCTAACTCTCCTCCTAAAATTCGAACAGTTCTCGGGTTTTGTAATGGTCGACTCAATTGTAAACAAGAAATTGCTTTCTTATTGGAAAAAAATATATATGTACATATTACTGGCAAGCTGCCGGCATTATTGCCGCTACATGTTGCTAAGGTCGAACTTCTACTTCTGGTGAATGCATATTTCGCTGTTCGAATGTTAAAACGAATAGAAAAAAAATTGTAAATTTGGGTAGGTTTTCGAAATCAAAATTCTGGAGTATTTTCTTTCCGACAACGTTCGATGTTTCCTAAATCAAGGTAAATAGAACGTCCACAGATATTTTTTTATATA